TATTAGATATTTAAATGACTTTATAACAAAAAATATAAGTTCATACTATGTAAGATGTACCTGTAAATGTAAATCTATGTTACTGTTAAAATTAAAGTATCTTCAAACATGACATATAGTAATTAAAGCAGTCTTATCAATAGGTTTACAAAAATATTTTAAATATATATTTTATTTGACATATTATTTGCTTAAACATTAATTTAAAAATGATTATACTGCATTGGTTTTAATTAAGGATTTTTTTATGAACATTATGTGTTGTTAAATAATGAATAATATAATATTAAGACAGTAGTATGTGTCAATCATTATAAATTTGACCTTTAAATTGGATACTTGCTAGAGTAATTTATTAGATGAAAGTCAATTCAAAATAGTTATAGTATGTACTATATAGTTCCAACTATTTATTTCAAGATAGCCACTTATGAATAAATATGCGTTATGCTATAGTTTAATTGGTGTAAAAATATAGCTATTATTGTAGCAGTATAAATTATAATATAAAAATATGCTATTAAAAATGTATAGATATTTATTTGTTTTGTTTTAAGTTTATGATTAATATTTAGTAATTAGTTATTATTTATTTTAATGTATAAACAAAATTAAATATAGAAGAGCATATATTCATGATTATAGGCATTTTATTTTTGTATGATTTAAAATTAATAATGCGTATATAATTTAAATTAATATATATATATATATATATATATATTTATATATGATTAGGAATTTTCACGATAAGGTTGATATAAACAATTAAAACATATACCTGTGTCAAATTACATTTAAAAGAGGTTTTGATAAATATGCCTATGTAGAACCTAAACGACCTTTGATAATTTGTATACATTATTTTATAATCTGAAAAAATCTCTTGTATTATCTGTTTAAAAATTAGGTTACATCATATAAATTTCTTGATTTTTTTTGAATGATTGGTAAAGTATGAAATATAAAAATGTAATATCGACGTAAATATATGATACTTATTTAATAATTCAGTAAAAGTGTATTATTATCAAGTACATAAAGAATTTTATAAATTTAAATCTGAAAACTAATATATAGGTAATAGGAACTTATTATTACAGATATTGACCGATTGTAGACTCGTTACAGTGTTGCTAATTTAAAAAAGTATTATAAACTATAGTTATTAATTAAATTGTAATTGTATTGTTTTATATATAAATTATTAATTGATAATTCGCTACATGTAAGTAATTAATTTGAATTATTAATACTTAATTATTTTTATAATTTAAAAAAAAAAATTTACCTTAATGGTAATTGATAGAAAGAAAATTATACTAGTTTCTTAATAAAAAGATGTTTAGGTTTAAGGTTAAACGTTGTGTATATATAATATGTCAGTTCTCCAAAAAAATATCATGTATTATAAACTGTGGTATAGTTGTTAAATTATATATGTTTAAAATAGCTATATATACATATACACATATATATATATTATATATATGTATTTGTATGTTATTAACGTAATATTTGTTTCATGTTTTTCTACAGAAATTACTTTAAAAAATATAAATGATTCTTTTCAATATTTTTTTTTTTTTTATATAGTATAAATTAATAGCTATTAGATTATGTATATATGTGACAACTAAGTTATTATTAGTATTTTAATTTAGTGTATACAATATGATAGAAATGGAAAATTATGATGAGTTTACAGGGAAATGTTAGAAGATTTTATTGATTTTGTTGCACAATTTCGTATTTTATTATTATCTTAAAATATTTTGTAAATTGGGAGAAAATAATATTAATTAATTCTAATTTTGAAGAGGTACCTATAAAAATGATTTTTGAATTAATTATCGATGAACATTTTTTTTGAATTGTGATTTCATTTTAAAATCCTTTTGAGTTTGGTCACACAATTAGTGTGACTAAGCAAATATACATGGGCTTTTAAACAAATTATACAATAAATTTAGTTTAATATACATACTTAAGTTATATAGTATATAGCGATTTCATATTTATTTTTCAAAGTCATTTTATAAGTATATTAATACTTTATTTACGTAAGTATTAATTCTGTAAATGATTTATGGAAGTACAGTCATATTAATTATTTTTTTTTTCTATTGTTATGAATTTGTTATATTTTATTATATCATTTACAGTTTACCTGTACGTGTATTTCTCGTTCAATTTTCATTATAAAAAATAATTAAATACCTTTAAAATTGGAAGCTTTATACAATATTGTAATAACAATTTTGGCTATTTTAGGATTATTATATGCTGGGTTTTGTATCATAAATTCTGTTCTTATTAAGTCAATGTCTTATTAGTTATTCATATTTACACGATGTAAAATATTACGTGCGTGAGAGAATGTCTACATATCTCAATGAACATGTACAAATTGAAACAAAACTAATATCAGTCAGTACCATTGCTTGTTAGTTAAAATAAAATAATTTTATATAGGTGCATATTCTTTAAATAATTCTCGGATCTCACTTATTATAAAATGTAGATATTATACATAATAAATTATTTTAGTAAAATATTAAAATATTAAAATTATAATTATAACCTAAATAATTTGAACCAATGTTTGTTGTAATTGAATTTGGAAAGATAATATCAAAATATCTAATATAAACACGTATAAACTTGTAAAAAATCAAAATTACATTAAAAGGTTTTTGATAATCAACATATTGTTTTTATATTATAGTTAATGATATTATGCTTGTTTAATTATTTAGATATAGATTTAAATATACGTTTCATATAGATTGTGATTTTAGATGAATGATTTTTCTGTGTTAAGCTTGTACGTGGACATAATAAAAATATAAATCTTTGATAACGTTTTCTTAATTTATAACGATTATATAATTAATTACCTATCGATTATTTCTAACCAGTTAAATTTTATTGTAGATATTTTATAACTATGAATATATACGTAAAAATAAACGTTATGGTTTAATAACTCCTGAATTTTCTTTTGCGAAAGTAGTTAATACTTTGAAACTTGGTTATGTGTTTGTGACCTATATATTTTTGAAATTATATTGATTTTTTTTTGTTGTAAAAAATATAATTTAATTTAGGTATTTTATTTTATAAGTTTATGAACCTTTGACTCATACCTAGATTTTATTTTAAATTAATATTTATAGTTAAATGTATTTATATTAAAATGTATTGAATATATTAAACTGTTTTATATTATATTATGTTTTAACTATTATCAATAATTAATCAACCGAATAATGTAATGTATTATTTCTTTATAAGTATTTATTGTTTTAATAAAATATACCTTAATTATGTTTTATCTTATAAAAGAAACATTACTCATATTTTTATTGTTAAATTTATTATAGGAACTGTAAATGTTTTATAAAGAAAGTCATTTTAGAACAAGTGTTGTTATTCAAAATTCAAATTTTTAAATAGTAAATTTAGTTTTTGTTTTCTATATACCTATTTGTCATAAGTGTTATTATAATATTTGTTGATTAAAAAGATAGTGCTTAGGCATAAGGTACGTAGATACGTGTTATTATTTATAATTCATATAATACTTTATAGCATATCAACCTGTTGATGAGTTAACTAAAGTAAACTGTAGACAAACTAAAAAAATTATCTTGTACTCTATAAATATATAAAAGGTTGTGTTAAGTAAAATTTATCATTTTTGTCAGTTATAAACATCGAGTGAATGCAAATACTAGTGATATATCTAAGACCTAAGTTAACTTTAATTTATGTTAATGTATCTATTTTTTTAGTATTTTGTGAGTTATCTATCCATATAAATCCAATGTAAATATTATAATACTGCTGGAAGTTACATTGAATAAGTATGAAGTCTGTTTAAAAGTTATAAATAAGTGAAAAATAAATTTAATATTATTATTACGTGTCAATTCTGTAGTTGATGTAAAATTAACATACATACAATTAGCAGGTTGTATACATCTGTTTTTAAACATCTACAATTACAATTGCAATATACTTTAGTAGATATTTCTTTCGATTTGCTTTCAACGTAACAACCTTCAATAGATCCCAATGCGTCATTCGTTTTTCGAGGTGTAGGTAGGTAGGTTGAGTATAGGTCATTATCATTCTACTGTTTTTTTTTTTTTTTTTTTTTAGTTATTGTTTTGAATAGATTATTAAACAATATTTTTGCTATGTTTATATGATAAAATAGTACATAATTAGTTAAATAATAATCAAATATAATAATCATTGTAGTGTTTACACAAATTACACATGATACTTTAAGTTGTGATTTGTGATAAAATGTTTTGATGGTAAGTATTTATATTATTTTCTATTAAAAATAAAAAGTAGGTACCTAGGTACTCGTTGAATATATCTTTAAAAAGTCACTCTCTTTAATATAATCTAAATGTATATCGCCATTAAATAGATCACTAAATGGGTGTGTTAAATTTGATTTCAATGATGTAAATGATAAACAAAAAAACGATCCTGAGTAAAACCATAGCCTATATTTCAAAAAATATTTTTTATTATATTTATATTCTTATCATCAGTATTTTTATTCCGTGATGTTATTTATAATTTATTTTTATATCATAGTAACCACTAATTATTGATATTATTTTCACTACAAATTTAACCAACTTTATACCAGAAATTACTCAAAATATTTTTTTTCGGCAAAAAAAAAAAAATCTAAAATCTAAAATGGTTTAAAAAATAGACATTGTCTATATATAGAAATATAAAAATATTACTTTTATTCAATCAAATTTCTGACATTAATATAATGTTTTATATAATATAATAAACGTGACACTTTCATTTCAGCATTTATATTTACATACTTAAATGTATACTCATGTGATATTAAAAAAAATTATAATTTGTTTTGATAATCTGACATTTTTCCTCAGTTTAATCATTAAACTGATATCTTATATAAATACCTTACTCAATATAATGTGTGTGTTTTCCAGAAATTCTGAGAGACGAAAAGAAAAATCAAGAGATGCGGCTCGATCTAGACGTAGTAAAGAGACCGAGATATTTACAGATCTCGGGTCAGCATTACCTTTACCAGCATCCGTTATTAGTCAGTTAGATAAAGCAACTATTATGCGATTGACTATTGCATCTTTCAAAATTATGGATGCTTTATCATCAAGTAATTATAATTTAAAATTATATTATGTAATTGTAATAATCATGAGTAAAGGAAAGTTATTATTACAGTAATACTAAGGTATTTAAATAAAATATTGTGTGGTTAACAAAAATAATTTTAAATCATTTTTTTACTAAAATCAAATTTTATAATTTATATTGCATAGCCATAAAGGTTTAGTTACATTTTAGTTTTATTTTAATTAAAACTTAATTGCACACAAACCGAATAAAGCTCATTAAATAGGTGTACCTATGCATTTCGCCCAAAAATTATGCAACATTACTGAAAAACAGTTCATAAAAATTAATTATTTTGTTTCATTATATTTGAATATATAAGACTTATGCATTTATCATTTTTATTTAATTCAATATTTGTATAGTAGGCTAGAGGTTAAGTACTTAATATTAATACTAAATAATTATGAATTAATGTATTAAAACTTATATCTTTTATAATTTGCATTTCTAACTTAAAAACTAAACATTTAACAATCAATATTTAAAAATCCACGTTTTTTTATCTCGAAAAAATACAACTTGAAATATTTCTATTCTAGAAATACTAAAACTTATAGGTAATATTAATTTTAATTTAAAGTCTAGATTTTCATACATGTACCTATTCGACTAGTTATTCTTCTAAGTTGAAGGTTATTTATTATTTGAACACACGTTTTTAATTTTAATATATTATGTAGGTATTATTTTGATTCTTACTTTAATTTGATAAGATTAAACGTTTTATTTTATTATTTTTTTTATATAAAAAATAGCAATGTTATAATATTGTATTTATATTTATTATTAATTAATATATAATACTTTTAAATCATTACTCATAACAAATTATTGATTATTATATTGTTTCTGGATATTACAACTATACAGTAGGTACTGTGTATACATATATGGCGTATTAGGTTTATCATGTATATTATGTATTATTATTTTATTTTCTTAATGTATTTCTTATCTAATAATAGATTCAATACGTTTTTCGTATTTGTTTATATTAATATCAACCTTAATATGTAACTGTTTAAATAAAAGAAAACGTAACTAGAATAATTTGCTTAGGTATAATTATATTAATTATTCCTTTAAAATAAATCGTATTTTTTTTACTGTAGTATCAAATTAATATTTAACAACTTAAAAGTTTGAATGATTTACAGTTATTTCCTTAAGAAAACAACAGTCCAAAAATTTCGCTTTATTATGAAATATTTTAATGCATGGGGTCAGAGAGAAATCCTGTTAGCCTTGGAAGGTGAAACATACCTATAGGCTTTAGCTGTTTATTAATCAGTTAAATTATTCTATTTTTCTAAAAATCTATTGTTATAATTTTTCATTCTAGCTATGTATTTATGAGAACAAATTTGTATATTGAGAATATTTTTTTAGCAAACATTGATGTAAAACCCGATGAAAAAAATTGTCCTCCAAACATAAGTGGAATATGCAACAAAGCATTGGATGGCATTGTATTAATTATCACGGCTGATGGAGATATAATATTTATATCAGAAAATATTTCCAGCTATTTAGGCTTATCACAGGTACTTTTTACTATATTTTACAACGATCGTGTAAACTTTAAAATGTGTGAACTACGAATGTAGGACATAACTGGGCTTATTGGCATCATTACGTGTACAATGTTTATTCTACATAATTTGTATTAAACTTCAAATTTACATAAGATTTTTTATTTTAGATTGATTTAATCGGACAGTCAATTTATGAGTTCGCTCATCTTTGCGACCAAGCTGAATTGAAAGAAATTTTAACCAACAAAGACATAGGTGAACAAAAGTCATTTTTTGTTCGAATGAAATGTACTCTTACCAATAAAGGGCGCAATGTAAATTTGAAATCAGCATCATATAAGGCATGTATTTTAATATTATGTTGAATTATGTGGTGACTAGTCTATAAAGGCAAATATATTATATTGGTATTTATATTCTTAAATAGATGACGTTATGAAATAAATAGCATGTTTTTAAATAATAAAATTATACTAAACAATGTTAGACGAATGTCTATATTATAAATTTACAACCCGTTATTTTAACATATTAAAACGTTTCTTAGAAATCTTCAATGCTTGAGTGACATGCATAATGTATACCTAATTACTGAGTATAATAATTAATAACTAGTTAATGTCGACGAGTGAATTTCACACAGATTGGGATCATCCACTTTTATTTCTCAACACAACTATAAATACTTAACGATTGATTATATTATCCAAATTCAATTTCTTAGAATTAAACGTAACTGTATTTTTGTAACCTATAATTTAATATTTTGATATGACGTAGAACGTGGAGTACCTAATTCTTAACTTTAAAAAAAAATCACGTATCACTTAACAAAATTTAATTTTAGTACATTAAATAGACCATGATTATACATCATATTGTATCTTAAAATTAACTATTTATCATAAATATGTACATTTCTTATTTTTATAATGTACCTATATAAATGTTCAGGAAAAAAAGATATAGATGATTCAAAAAATATTTTTTCATTTATTGTATAAATAAATTTTTTTTAGTTTAAAATGATTATTCTATCACATTTATGACAAATATTTGTTATTTTATTTTGTTAATTATGTATTATAAGACAATTTGCTATGTGGCCTCGACTTATTTAATTCAGCAGTATTCTAGGTAGTATTCTTTATCTTATGTTTTTGTTATTAATTGTGTTATTTTAATGCTATTATAATATTTTACTACCTCTGGACTTAATTAATATAATATGATATACATTTCGGCACACTTATTAATACTATGTAACTTTTTTAATGAATGCAATTGTACAATTCTTTGTTTAAAAAAAAATTACCAGATATTTCATTAAATTATTTTTCTTTTTTAATGGTTATTAATTATAATAATATATTATACTAAATAATGCATATTATGAAGTAAATACAATTCAAATTGAAATTCCACTAAAAAAAAAAAAAAAAATGTGAATCGCTTTGAATTTATTGTACATAAAAAATTTAAAAAAATGAATACAATTGAAATTTTTATTAGAATGATGGTATAATATGTTATAATTATAGCATAAAGAAAAAGGACAAACATTATTTAATTTAAATTTTTATTATTGTTAATATTTTTAAAATGTGTGTCATTTAAAAATAAAAAAAGTATTAACTTATGATTTTTACGTGCATAAAGTTAATCAAGTTTAGTTTTTTAATAAAGAATATCTATGTGATCTATCAAACTAATTACTATTAAAGTATAGTAGAATACATTTTCAATTACGGTATTAATTTTTAAATTTGGTTAAAAGTCCATTCAAAATTCCTCTTACATATAATATATATAAAAATTATTGGTTTTTACATATTCAGATTTGTTTTAAATGAGTATATATACTAATGTGGACAACATTTTTCTTCTAGATTAATTGATGCTTAAGTTTGAATTGTTAAAATTGTATTAAATAAATGTTTTACATGCTATACATTTAATGGTGATAAACATTCTGAGTGAAATTATTTTAAAGATCCAAATTTATTTGTATTACTAAAAATAAAAGTATGGTAATTTTTGTCCTTATTTTTTTTAACAATTGTGTTTTTAATCTTAAATAATATTTTATTATAATTTATGTATAATATACTATCTAAGTATAGGTAGTCTAGATTTAAAATACTGTACTTGATTTTAATTTTATTATTAATTTAAAAATCTGTAAATTGTTAAGTAGTTTATTTTTTGAACACAAATTGTCTCTCTTGTATTAAACATATTACATTATATAATATTTTAAGTGTCTACTTTACCTAGAAAGTTATAATTACATTTCATAAATATAATGTATAAGTTTAAAAATAATAAAAGATTTTTATACATTTTAGGTGCTGCATTTTACAGGACATTCAGTTATCAACACTTGTGCCAAAATAAAATCATCAATTTTATCAGGCGGAGAATCAGATTCAGACTATGAATCTGATAAAAAAACAGATTCTGATAGTAAATCTAATAATAGTGATTTAAAGTTTGAAAAAACTGATGATTCTCCATCTCATATATTTGTGGCAATTGCTGAACCAATACCACATCCAGCAAATATTGAGATACCACTATATAAACAGAGCAAGATATTTTTTAGCAAACATTCATTGGATATGAAATATATAATTGCTGATGATGTGTGAGTTAAAAAAATATATTGCTCAAATGATGTAATTAATATTTTAAATTGTAGTCATAAAATATATTTTTAAGATTGTAAATAATAGGATTTTTCAATACTAAATTTAAGGAATAATAAATGTTAGATATTACTTATTAGTTATTAGTTATTAAACATGTCAAAAACCAATATTACTGTAATATGTTTAATTATTCTAGTTATAATGTATTTAAAAACACCAAATTTAATTATATTATAGTTTTTGATATTTGTAAATATAAATGCTCAAAAAAATTGTTGGTTTTATAAATAATAACTTTTTTTAAACTATAGTCTATAAATCATAATTTTTTTTGCATTGAAAGAAAAAATATAATATAATTAGGCAATCTAGGTTGTTTTTTTAAAACAGAATATTAATTCATAAAATGATTTTAAAATTTTATTTTTTACATACTAGATATATTAATTGATTTTCTTTTTTCCTTTTTTTATATGTTCTGAATTATTAATTACTTAAATCCTTAAATTTTAATTAAATATCTATTATTTAAGCCTAAAGATAATTGTAGTAGTTTTAAAATGTAAATTATTTTTGTTATTTTTTCCCTCAATAAATAAAGATTATTTATAATAAAATCATTAATTAATTACCTATAAAATTTTAAAATATATTTTTAAACCTAAACATGAAATAGAAATACATTAACTACCAATACTATTAAGGCTTTTAATAAAAATAACTGTACTATCAATAGTTTGTACAATTTATAATTGAAATGTATATGACAAATATAAATTAGGGTTATATTATAGTCAACTTTTTACTACTTTTTCCAAAAAATTTACTATATTTTTATTTTTAGAATTTAAAATTAAAATATCAATCTTCTTACCTGAAATAATTATATGTTTTTCTATTTTGATCATTAATTTAATTTTATATTGTTTGCATTGTATCTAATAGATTTTATGATATACTAAAATTAAAATCATTTAAAATTTATTATTCATATTAAGAGTTATCACGATAATATTACTTCATATTTTTATCTACGGCTAACTTAATTTGTTATTGTTCAATTATTTAAAATAGAAAATATGTATATTGTTTATTGGACTAAAATGGTAATAGTTATTTAATATTTTGAATAATATTAATTTTTATTTCATTATTTCATAACTTTTAATTTTATTGTTAATTTCAAAAATAAGAGTTTTTGTAGAGAAGTTTATTACTTCTTGTTATAGACAAAAAATAAATAATTAAATAAGTAAAACTAAATAAATTAATTTAATATTTTCATTATTTTAATTTAGTTTTTTTACAACATTTAATAAAATATATCACAATATTAGGTATGGGTATGCTCTATAGATATACTTTTGAATAATTCTGTTTAATAGTGTATAATTAAGAATAATTATAAAAACTATTTTGTGTTTTAGTATAACAAACTATGTGGGTTATGAACCAGATTCATTAGTTGCAAAGTCTGTATTTGATTATTACCATGCTCAAGATTGTAGTTCAGTGGAAAAAAGTTTTAAAATATGTGAGTATTTTGCTTTCATATTAATTATTTATTTATTGAAAGCTTTGAATTATTTAATTAATAAACCAATACTATTTTTTCAGTATTCGAGAAAGGACAGGTAGAGACAAATAGGTATCGATTTTTGTCGAAAGGAGGTGGTTATGTTTGGATAGTTACACAAGCAACCATACTAAATGATCACAAGGGTCTAAAACCTGAGAGCATTATGTGTATTAATTACGTAATCAGGTAAGATATTTTATGTTCATTGCTCGTTAATAATAGTGGATTGATAAAGCTCTGCTATTATGCTGTTATATACCTGGTTTGTTGAATATATCAGCTGAGAACCTGCTGAAAATTTGACAATATTATTTATTAGTTAATAGTTATTACTTATTACTATTAAATATTAGTATTAGAATATTGAGTGGTACACTTCCCAGACTGTTCTTGCTTATAGTTTGTTTTTAGTTTCTAGTATATTAGTATCCAATATAGTATATGTATAAATCAGCTAAAAAAAGTATACTTAATAGTTTTATAAGTATTATTGTATCATAAATGTTTTGAGAAAATAAAATAGCGCAAACATAAAAGAAACATTCCATAAAAATGGGTTTTAATTTCAAAAGATAATTTATGTTGATGACTATAAAATTTGTAATAGTATTTAATAAATACTAAATTATATCATAGAGTATATTAAAATATTATCTTAAATTATAACAAAAATTATTTTTTAAAAATATATATAGATATAGGTATAGTATGTACAAAATCTACATTATTTTATGACATTAAATAGAAAAAAAACATAATACTAAAATAAATATTAATTTTGAATAATTCTTTATTAAATTGTGTCTTGAATATGTGAATGAAAATATATATGTCCTCATAATTTTTAATCATAAAATTACATAGTTATATCTTTTTTTATTCTATATTTATAAATAATAAACATTTACTTAGATATTTACTAGTTTGATAGTGTAATACGAATTTTATAATATTTTTAAATATAGTATAATAAATTATTTTTTTATTATGATTATGATTATTTTTTGTATAATAGTTTTTGTTATTCTTGATATGAATAATAAGAGGAAATAATTTTAAATTTTAATATGTAATTAATATGTTATGTATTTTAAGAGCAAACTATTCTATAGGTCAGTGGTTCTTAATCAGGGTGACATGGGCTTAGCATAAGGGTAATATAAAATATCCTTTGGAAAAGGAAAAAAAACATGAGAGTTATTAATTTTTTGGAATAAAATAAAATTATTGACATCTGTGTTACATAATTGTCCCCAACATTGGAATAACAATTACAGAAATAATTGTCTACATTAAACTGCATATTGTAAAGTTCATATCTTTTTATTATTTCTAGTTATTCTTTGGCCTAAAATTTCAATGTTCATCCTACACTACAACTAAAATAAAAATGTGTCATTATATTTCTACATACTGTATTTTTTAAAAGCACTGTTATTTTAATTTTAAAGTGTACTATTTAAATTGTTTAATATTTTGATGTTTTGGTGATACAATTTTGAATTCTCACGGATAAGGGTAACATGAATCTAAAAATGTTGAGAACCACTGTTGTAGGTTAATGTATTTATGAAATATTAATTACCTACAATTAATTATGAATTTCATATTATATTTGGATAACATTATTTTGTCTATTAACATAAATACAATTGTAAATACATAATCACTATATAGTGTAATAGAACATTTTTTAATTAGTTTATAATAGTAATAATTGAAATAAAAATATTTAAAATAGATTTATGCATCATACCTAATTAATTTAATATTTTTTTAATGATAAGATTATTTTTTACAATAGTATACATTCAAATTTATAACACATATTTAAATTTATAATCATAGTGTAACAATTTTAAATTAAAAGTATAAAGTTGAAATATGTTTACAAGTCATAATATTTATACGAGAAATCTTGTTACTATTTCACGGCGTTTAATATAGGCAATTCAAGCATAACATAATTTTAGACCATTATAGTAGATATAATATGAGTATATTATTTGAGTATAGTACTATGTACCCCATAATAGTATTTGACCTGTACATATGAAGAGCTTATTTTTTACTTAAAAATTCAAGTGCAATTCAATGAAATATTAAAAATTTCCTTATTCTTACCCGACCATACCGCATGCTTGTAATAATTATTCACGTATATTATGCGGGAAAAAAAGAATCGTGATTCATGCGTGTACATTTGCCTAATTAACGACTCGTTTGTCAGAAATAAGCATAACTAAATTGTTTTTATTCATATTTAAAATACCCGTGAGATTAAAAACATAAAAACAAAGACAGAGCTTGTTTGGTACACATTACACATATATAATGTATGTAGGATTTCATTAATTTACGTGTCTATTAAATGTTTTACAGGTGTTCGGGAAAATGTTTTCTTCTAACTTCACGCACATATTATTAGATCCTCTAAATAGTTTTTTATTTGTTTATTTTATATTTGAATCATCAGTGACCATTGTTATATGATTGTTCTAGCTATGGCTTCTCATTTAAATATTATGTGTATTTGTAATTTCCTTTTTTAAATTGATTCGATTTATTTACTGTATTGCACTAACTTAACAGATTTTATTTGTTAGTCAAACACTCAAATCACTTGTTTTAAAGACCATAAATTCTTGATTTTTTAAATTAACCACAATATTATTATATTTGCATGTAACGTTTGAGTTGACAAGTGTCGAATTATATAAGAAATATTGGCCTTCGTGCTGACCTTGCTATATAAACGATTGTCACAGACTACACGAACAAACCAAAATGCATTGGTTATTTTAATGTGTTAAAACGAGTTCTATTAATCAAAAATATCCTACATCAAATGTCGATGTTGAAATAAGTGTATGTAATCAAGGTTTTAGTTTTAAAGTAAAAATCTTAAAGCGTTTTGTGACAATGGCGATTAGGAATTTTTGAGAATTAAAATGATAATTCTTCTTCATTAAATTTGCACAATTCTTAGAGGTATAATATAATATTAATATTTAATAGTAATAATTATATTATCTAAGTAATATAATATGAGTATAGTATTGTAGGTAATATATTTTTAATATTATCATAAATAAACATTTTTACCTATAACTTTTATGTATCTTCCAAGTATCTAACTAAAAAATAAAAAAAATGAATAATTTTTGTTACCAGTAAATTTACTAAAAATTTGCTCGGAAATTTGAATGTGGTAAAATGTGTATATTATGTAAAATTTTAATAAAATCAATCATTTAGTGACCTTATAGTGATTGGTTATAAATAAACTCTATTGCAATATTTAAAATTGCTGTTTTTTTTTTTTTATTTAGTTAAATAACTTTCAAAGATTAAAAGAAAACAAATAATGAGATAACTATTATAATTCAGTAACTACATTTTTTAATTCTTATAACTGTAATGCGTTATTGATTATTATTCGATTGGATAATATATATAGGTATATACTATATATATACACTATACAGTTATAGCGAAATATTTAACAACTTTTACTAATATATGTTAGTGATCATTTTTAAATATTTTGTTTTATTTTTATTCAAACAACATGTATCACGTTTTACTACGATATGATATACATTATCTTTGTATATTAAATCATTTTAAACATACGTTTTATTTTGATAGATGTTAATTTTTTTTTTTACAAGTGATTTAGTTATATTGACATAAAATTAATTTCATAAAGTATAATTTAAGTTTAATTATCTGATAACTATAAATTATTATAATAATAGCAAGTTAAAACAAGTTAAGTGGAGTAAATAGATTAAAATAATTAAGAGATAAGTACCACGGTACAACCAATATAAATAATACAAATTCTTACAATAAATTATTTTCTCTGAGTATTAAGTGTATTGAACTTCGAAAAGTAGTTTTTATCTTAAGAAATTATTCGCATGCTTTTGTTTAATAGTATATTTTTATTGGCCAATATAATTATGGTTTTATATTTATAATTTTTAATATGTGTTGATGTATTTAGGTATGAATATAAAACGCAAATTTTAATCACTTAATATAGTGTTGTGTTTTTACAATTTATAAATTAACAAAATACAATCATTAATGATTTTTCATTTAAAGATTTTTGAGTCTATTCATATTTTCATAAAATTCGGAAAAACACTGTATGGTATTTCAACTGACACATGCAGTAACATGGCTCAATAAATTTAAATGTGTTTATATTTAATATATTTAACATAATACAAATGACGTAGTTTATAAATTATTCTAATCTTTCTGCAGATTGGCTATTTTTGTTATTAGTACTCATTCAATTATGATATTAGATTTTTATTTTTGCATGGAGTTTTTGTAAAATATAGTATAATGTTGCAGTATTGCATTTAAAAATACTATGTACGTAAATATTTTTATTGTTCGTTTTTTTATGAAATCTATTAGTTTTTTTTTATTTGTGCCATGTAGCTGCTATGAGTCTACTACCCTCGATTTATACAATGAATAATGTAAAAAAAAGATTCATACTATGATTTTTTATTCAAATTATATTCATCTGATTTATCACGTTGTTCACATCTTCATATGCTGCAGATTGTAGACAAATGTTGAAATATCATAAGAACCTATATAATGTATTATGAAGTTTCATGCAGTTACTATTTTTTTTCTTAATAAATTATGGAATAAAGTGTAAGTTTACTCATACGAATCATAAATAACAATAAAACAATAAGTGTGCATTTATTTAAAGGAAACGCAACGAATTTCCTACGTATTTATTACACAAAATGGATGTATTCTGTTAAAAGTAAATAATAATATTACATCAAAAATGCTCACAGTCTACTAACACACCGAGTTCCCGCGTATAGTTTCTATTAGTGTATCTATATAGTTTAATATAATTTATGAGTTTGAAATGAATTGTAAAATGTATATATTGCCTAATCGAATTCGATATTTTATGATCGAATTTACATAAACAAGACGTATCGTTACATCTAAGTAAAACACGTGATTATTTATTATTGGCTGCTATCTTTATTATATATTATATGACATAATATTGTCGTACGAAAATAATATTAGAATATTTTATTTATTTAATGTTAATAAGACAACATAATATTAGAAAAACGACACATTTATAAGTATTATGGCTTAGGTGAATTAAATATTATAAATTAATG